GCTGTCCTCCCCCAGCGGCTCCACGCGGAGGCTGTCGGCGTCCAAGCCCTGCACCCACCGGGAGCCCCCCCGCCAGACGGTGACAAGTTGAAAAGCGGCCACATTGTCACACAAAACATGATGACACCCCTCCGCAAACACCTCCCTCCCTCCTCCCCTCCCACCATGCCACAGCAGCAGTACAGCTGCTCCTCCGGGCTGAGCTGGGAAAATGTTACTCCAGGGGGAAGGCGACCTTCCTTCTCTGTCCAGGGAGGGATTTAGATTGGCATCTCTAATTTGAATAGCCTCTCTCGTTTTAACATTTCATCTCTGGTGCTCCTGACAGGGAAGGTCTAATTAGTGCTGGTGACAGTCACGGACAGCCCTGAAAAGCTCCCTCCCCCCTCCTTGCCACCACCCTTCCCCCAGCTCCCCCAGTACACTTCAGCCCCATCCTTTCATCTCACACCATCCCTCAGCAAGGCAGTCTCGGCTCTCACAGGCCTGCCATTACAGTTGGAGCATCTCCAAATTCACTCTTTGCAGGAAGAGTAGCCAATGAAGGCAATTTACTCAGTGACTCCTACGTTACGAATACATCCGCGCAGGACAAGGGCCCCAAGAGCCGTCCTGCGTGCTTGCCTTGGGTCCTCTGCAAGGCAGGGGAGGGGATGGGGAACTGCCGACCCATTGCACCGCCACCGACTACCTGGCCTTAAAATACACTTAATAGCATCAACCCTTCTCTTCCCAGGAAGATTCACTGATCTGGCCCAGCTCCTGTGGCTGCACTGTTTCCCCCTTCCCTGCTGCCCAAAGCACCTTGAGGAGGTCGAAGACGTCATCTGCATCAAGGCGGTAGTCACAGAGGCGGTGCAGGATCTCGACCCGGGTGCGCAGGGGCAGCTCCTGGAAGGTGGACTCCCGCAGGGGGTTGGGCTTCCCTTCCTCTAGCTCCCAGCGATAGTTGATGATGTCCTCCAGGTAGCTATGAAACGTCTGGGATCTAACCAAGGAAACAAAGTCCCACACACTCACTGTAGTTCACCAAGCCAGAAACACCTGGCGCAACCAAGGAACTCGAACAAACACAACACAGAGACAGCTAACACTTGAAGGAAAACCGTGCCCCACAACAGCCATGGTTAGGTGCAGCTTTGTGACTTGGGTTCCCAAAACACAGCAATCTCCTTGCAACACCATGGGATTTCACATTATACACATTCAGCTTACAGGAGTCTGCATTACTGTTATTTCTTTCCAAGCTGGAAGAACAAGCTAAATATGATGCTAACTCAGCCTCATCCCCTTTCTATCCCAATGGGCAGTGCCTTGTGCTAGCACCAACATCAACCCTTTACTAAAATAGGATGCAATGAAGCTGATGAGTCTGATCCCCTTCTGCCTCTCCCCATTTCATGCGGAGACCCTCTTCTTCAGCTTTCCATTTGCTCCTCACATCTGCCATTGCCAAGCCCCGCTCCCCTCTCTGCCTCTTAAGTAGTTTTCCACGCCCTGGTTCAGTGGCTTGAAACTTCCCATAACTGATCGTCTCCTCCTCGCTTTGCTGCTGTATGCGTCCCATACTCCTGTCGTGGCCCCCATTCTCCTCTCCCTCCATCCCCAAGAGGTGCTGCCCCTTTCTGCCTGTTCCTCCACCAGTGGCTCCGGCGGGACATCTGCACAGCCCGGTTAAGACACGCAGCTTGGAACCTGCCATGCAACAAGGCTCATTCCCAACATGAGTGTATCTCCCAAACAGGATTCAGCCCAGAGGACTCTCTCCTCTCTAGACTCCCAGATGATCAAGCTGAACACTCGAGCTCTTCATAAACACTGCTACTAAAATGATCTTTCTCATTTGCTAGCTGAGCCACATTAAGTCCCCCTTTCGTTGCCAGCAGTTCACCATATAACCCAAGGAAACACACATCTGGCATTGAGGGTAAATGTCCCCATCTGACACACATTAGACTGCTGATGGAGCTTAAGGCTAAAAGAACTCCTTTCTATATTTTAAGGAGACTTAAGCCCTTATTCTGCCTGCTGAAAATTTCAGGGGAGGGAATGAAAAAGGGCTGGTGAGGCCGTGTGTCCCTAAATATAAAACTTTAAGATCTGTCCATATCACTTTGAGTCCTGAGACTTGCCAGGCTCTCTCAGCCTGCTCGAGTTGTGTACCCTGAGCACAGCAAAGGGGGACCCCCCCCGTGACCCAGCCATTCTTGCACACACGGGAAGTCCATATGCCGGCAAGAACACCACTGGGTACACATTCCCACCAGCTCTCAAAAAGGCAGCTCAACTTGATAGGTTTTTGGCACAAATGGATTGCTCTATATGATTATGGAACCGTGCCAACGCTACAGAATTGCATTTGCCTGAGAAATTGCTAACTACTACAAAAGCTATTATTTTTGAACAAAGAGATAGAGGAACGCGATCCAACTGGAATAAGATTATTAAAAGTCAACAAGAAGTTAGCTGTTAGACAGGGGGCTTCACATGTTTGGTAAAGTCTGGACTTCTTTGCAAGGACCATGACTGGGTGGCGACTGCAAGAACGAAGGAACAGATGCCACATGATTCCTCAAGCCATGTCCACCTGGCAGCTTTCCCCTTCCTCCTCGAGTGGAGAGAAGTTGATGCTACCACCCTGCAGATCACTCCCCACCAGCCTGCTTCTTTCTGACGTCAAGTGCAAGCTGACCTCCCAGAGATAACTCCTCTCACCGGATGAGTTTTACCAGCTCTCTGGTTGTATTTAACAACAGGTGCTTGAATGTACCTGGATCTAGTGCCTTCTGCAGCCTGGAGTTTGCTCTTTTCTGCATGACACAAGCAAAGCATCGGTATTTCCAAGTGTCATTGTTTTGCCCCACTAATATCAGCAATCAAACAAATGCAACTTGAAACAGTCCCCTATGCTCACCAAGTTCAGTCAACACAATAAAGGAGGACTGTTTCATGAAATGATTTCTGTGTTGTCTCAAGTACTAATTTTAGGGTAAAAACTACAGCAACTATCCTTTTTTAAAATGAAATATTCAGTGCACAGTACACCTACCTGAAGTAGCTGTGCATTCCCACAGTGCCTTCCTCATAAGCCTCAAGACCCAATCCAACTTCCAGCAAGGACTTCAACTTGGCAAAAGGCGTGATACTAGATTATCTTCATAGACCTTTTTATCTTTAAGAGTGCTATTTGATCACACACAGCTTAAATACTAGATATTTACTGAAGCCATTGGATTAAAACAAACAAAAAAGAAAGACAGATCTGCCTCTAGCTTTCAAGAACAGAAACAGTGACAAGAATATCTTTTCCTGAAAGCAGGAAAGTAACACCTGTATTTGGATGCTTAGTCTGTCGTAGAAGGGGAATGACTGTAAGCTCTCAGAGACCATCCGAGTTTCAGCCCCCTGAGTTCAGTTGTTCAACTCTGTCAGAGCTCAAGGCAGAAGATTATTTCATCAGATCTGATATAGAGGCTCTGGCTATTTCCAGTAAAATTGACTGAAAAAACAGTTTCCCTGGGATCCTGAAAAACTAGTCGGTGACATGGGATGCCAGGAAGAAGCAACAAAAGAAGCAGGACTTTATCTGCTCCTATTTTTCTGGGTAAATTTTTTTCTACCAAAAAAAAGGGGAAAGGCATGGATCAGACAGATACTTTTACCGCTTGCATGAGTTCACTTATCTTGCTCTACCATTTTGGCTGCTCTCAAAGAAAACTGATCCAGGAAGCCCCTCAATTCCAGAAGACCATCTGAAATCTTTGCCTATGTAACTCTCATTCCCCCTGGGGACTGGCTCTGTTGACTTAACCAATTTGGTTTGAGTTTGACTTTCACATAAGTGGCTAACACTAGAAATTTCCGCCATCCACCCAGTGTCCGATACATTACAAGCTCTGTTCTCAAGAGTACTTCGAGTTCCTACCCCCATCAATTTTCAAAGACAGCTACTGTGCATTTGTCGCTTTGAATAAGGATAGAAATGAGAACCAGAGATGGGAACCAGATGTCTCAAGGCATTCCCAATCACTCTCAATCTTACCCAATTTATAATTTCCCTCTTCATGGGGGCTGGCCTCTTTTCTCCAGACAAATGTGGGGTGCTCGCCTTCAACCCGTCTGCCACACCTATGGTTAGTCTCACTTAGACTGTCTCTATTAAATTTCCCTTTGAAAAAGGTTTCTGAAACAGCCTGCCTGATTTGGAGAAGAAAACTGCAGGGAGCACAGCAATCTGTGAGAACTCTGTCCTTGGGGTTCTTCCCCGTGCAAAGCAGAAATGCTCAGGACTAATTGTTTAGCATTATCCATAAAATTCAAAACCAAGAATCAGACAGGCAGGGTCCAGGAGTGGAATGACCTGGATGCAGCCTGTCAAATAGCCTTTTTTCAAGCCCACAAATAGGACAGTGATACACCTGCAGGTGTGGCAAGTCCTACAGAGTCTCTGCTGCAGCTGAGAACCTCCAAAAACCCTTTTGTAGGTAGGAAGAAGGCAGGCAGGAGATCACTGAGATAAGGAGACAGGTGTAGCTCTTCTCTTGAGGTTCTCAGCATCACTGAGACTTGTAACAACACTCGACCAACAGAGGCGATGTTAAGTCAGCAATGTCCTTTTCTCTACAAATTGGAGTATTCCCAAGGAGAATGGACTGGTACATGGACACATTCTGTTTCAGGGCACATATCCAAAGAAAAATCAACTCTCCCCTGAAAGTAAATTGGGGCTCCTAGAAACAACCTTTTAAAAAGTGTGAGACCATGGGCCCCAATGCTTGTCACCGTATCTCAACCACTTCTACCTCCCCCTGCCATACAGTGAAAGCATCTTCCATGTAGCTCATTAACCAAGGAAAACTATTACAGAAATCACCTACAAGAGGTCAGAAAAGTTACCTTAGAATACTCTGTAACTGTAAAACTTCACCCTTCCACCGACTGTCTTTCTCCCCATCCCAACTTCACTAGCACCATTAATATTTCAGAAAACTCAGACAAAGTTTCCCTCGCTTGCCACAACATCCCTTACTTTGCAGTTGCCACCCGATGTGCAAAGCAATTTGGATAGCTGTAGTGGGGAAGAGGTGGAATAGTACCTGCATATCTATGTCATACATCCCAAATGGAGGCAGGTGATTTCTCGTGAGCCCAATGCAATTCTTAGTCTCGTCCCTGGCTGTGCTCTGAAACTACAGGGTCATTGTCAGAGGCCCCCACCTTTTTTTGCAATGATTAGAAAGGAGGTCAAAGCTGAATCGCACCTGTGGTTGAAAGTTTTAATCATACATGGCGGACCTCTACATATGCAAAAGGAAATCTGGGGCACAGGGAAGGACGCAACCTAGCACCTCAGTGTCGAAGGGAAGGAATAACAGCAGACAATCCACAAGAGTACCAGTGAGGTTGCAGCTCAAGTCGCCTGTGATCTTTAGTAGCAGCTGCAAAAGAATCAGGGCATAAAGAAGACGGGAGCAAGTCGAAGGAGGGGCTCCTCCCCAACATGGGTATCAGCGTCCAGAACAGTCAGAGAAATGATACACCCCCCCGAGAGCTCAGCGCCGCAGCCCGGCCATCTGCTGCCCGGCTGCCTCCCGAAGAGGGAGGTTTCTCTGTGCTCCAGGAGAGGGGAGCTGAAGACTCCTCCCCTTGCCTGGCAATCCCAATTCGGCAGTCTGCCTCCGCGGTGGCTTTCCCTGCTCGCAGAAGAGGCACCCTTCCCATCGCCCAGGGTTTTAATGCACGGGGCCACACTGTTGTCGGAAAAAGAAGCTTGACCAGCATGTGGAGCGAGCCCCCATCCCCCTGCTCGTCACCATGCCCAGCTTTCTGGAGGGGCTCCTTTGGAGACCTCTGGAAGAGAGAGTGAAAATTTTGCAGGGTTGACAGGTTATATGGAAAAATTTGGTCGGCGCTTCTGGTGTGCACGCTTGGGAGGGGCCAGCTGCACCTACAGACCCCAGCCCCACAGACACCCTGTAGGGCAAACTC